GCTAATCATAGGGGCTTTGGCAGGTACCGTGGCCACCTCTAGATGGCAGCCTTAACCCTTACACTTGGACAGCCTCCACCCAAAGGCTGGAGAGGGGAAAGAAACACACCCAGGACTCCTAATATTCAGAGATACTACTGGGCTCAATGGCCCACACCTGTCATCCTAGCAGCCAGGAGGCTGAGACAGGATTATCGTGAGTTCAAAGCCCAGCCTCAGCAAGGGCAAGGCTCATTGTGACCCTGTCTCTAAATCAAATACAAAACAGGGCTGGGGATGTGGCTCAGTGGTTGAATATCCCTGAGTTCAATTTCCAGTACCCAATAATAATAATAATAATAATAATAATGCTATGAATTTGTGTATATTTTTTAAAATATTTTTTTGGCACTAGAGATTGGAGCCAGGGCCTCACATGTGCTAGGCAAGTGCTCTGCCACTGAGCTACCTCCCTGCCAATTTTTATTTTTAATTCTGAGAGAGGGTCTCATGAAGTTGCTGAGGCTGGCCTTGAACTTGTGATCCTCCTACCTCAATTGGGACTACAGAGTGTGCCCTCTTGTCTAGCTCTTATACACATTTTTATGTGGACATGTGTTTTCAGTTCTCTTGGTTATGTCCCTAGGAGCAAAATTTCTGGTTTATATAGTATCTCTGCTGTGACTTTCTGAGAAACTGCCAAAGCAGCTGCACCAATATACATTCCAACCAGCAAGGGATGAAAGTTCCGATTTCTCCACATCCTGGCCAAAAGGAAGTGATTGCCCATTTCTTAGATGGGCCATTCCAGGGAGCGTGGAGCTGGATTGCGTTGTCTGGATCATTTCCTTAATGATGCGATGCTGACCATCCTCCCGGTGCCTCTTGCCCTCTGTACATCTTCTCTGGAGAACTGTCTGTCCAGATCTTTTGTATTTTCAATAAGTTTTCACACACACAGAGCGCATTCATGTCCCATCTCAGATTCCCTTCAACACAGTCACCCTAGGAGAGAGCCACGGCTAGCCCCATTTTCCAGGTGAGGGAACTGAGGCTCAGACTAGTACAATGAAACACAGCATAAGGAGGGCCAAGGTTGGGGTTTTATGCATTTAAGAAGCACTCAAATTGTACCAGCCAGTCACTGTTAGAAGCTGTGAGCCCCACCATGACAATTTTTCTGTAAAGTGTTATCATTAGCTAAACTTCCTGGAAGCAATGACTCCTTCCTACCCTCCCTCCCTCCCTTCTTTCTCCCATTCTCTCTTACTATCTGCAGGGAAGGAACTCAGGATCCTGCATATGCTAGGCAAGTGCTCTACCACAAATCTATGTCCTCAGCCCTTGAAACAACTTTGTTTTTCTCCAGTGACCACAGAATAGTGTGTTTGTGGTCGAACAGGAGAATCACAAAAATGGGGCAGAGATCCTTCTCCCGTCTTTCCTACACTCCTGATCTGGTTTCCCTCTGGCTTTGGATTCATCTGAATAGGTGACACGCTGAGGTGCCTGGAACAGGAGGGCTGTGCCTTCAGGAGGCCTGTGGCAGGTGTGTTGTATTCTGATAAACAGGGATTATCGTGCAGGGATACATACAGGGATCTGAGACTTTTTCGGGAGAAGATATACCAAGGATAAGCTACACCAGCAGGAATGGAAGTTTGCAGCTGGGCGCAGGAGAGCATGCCTGCAATCCCAGCTACTTGGGAGGCTGAGGCAGGAGGATCACAAGTTTGAGGTCAGCCTCAGCAACTTCGAGACCTTTTACTATCTGGAAAAAAAAAAAAAAGAAAGAAAGAAAAGAAAAGTGGAAGTTTGCATTGGTTTGGGGACTTTTCCAGGGCTATTTGGGCCTGACTGGGCGAGGGGCTTCCTCATCTATCAGCTCTGTAGCTGCAGGCAAGGCACTTAATGCCTTTTTGCCTCAGTTTCCTCCATGGAAAGATGGTCCTAAGCATCTCCAACTCACCTAGTCGTGGGACACACTCTCCATCTTCAACAGTGTCTGCAGCCCTGGAGCTCCGGCTCAGGGGGGAACATCCGCCTTCACAGGTGTTCTGGGGCTGGTTCTTTGTTCAAAAGATCAAAGGAGACAGATCTAAGCTCAGATCCTGATTCCATTTTTTTTTTCTTTTTCTTTTTTTCGGGCTGAGGATCAAAGTCAGGGTCTCACATATGGTAGGCAAGTGCTGTACCCTTGAGCCACATCCCAGACCCCCTGATTTCTCATCTTTAACCAGCCCTTAGCCAAATCCCTTTGCATGTTTCAGCCTCAGTTTCCTCCTCAATCCAAGTTGACCCTGTTTTGTAAGGTAGTCAGGAGATTTCAACAAAATAATGTGTGTAACATGTGCTCTCTCCCTGGCTCTAGGGCTCTGCTTCTTCCCCAAAACTGCTACCCACACCAAGCATGTGGCTGCCTGGCACCCTCCTAAAGACTTCATATCCAACACTTTATTGAATCCTCACTGTAAATGGAGAGATCACTTTTCCCATCCCCATTTCAAAGATGAAGAAATTGAGCTCAGAGACGTCCAGTGACCCGACCAAGATCATAATGTTTAGAATAGATGGAGCAAGAATTGGAGTCCAGCCTGGCATGGTGGCATATACCTGTAATACCAGCGACTCAAGAGGCTGAGGCAGGAGGATCACAAGTTCAAAGCAAGCCTCAGCAACTTAGGGAGGACGTGAGCAACTTAGTGAGAAGCTGTCTCAAAATAAAAAAAGAAAAAGGGCTGGGGATGTGGCTTAGTGGCTAAGCACCCCTGGTTTCAATCCCCAGTATTTAAAAAAAAAAAAAATTCAAGCCCAGGGAGACAGGCTTCGGATCTGTGCCCCACACCTCTTGCAGGAATTTGTCAGTTCCCAGAAGGTGAAACTCTAAAGTCAGCCCCAGCTGCCCGAAACTCAACCACAGGGAGCTGGCTCTTGGCCCCCTTGCTGGCTCTCTTCTTTCCTCTCAGCCTCACCCTGCCACCCCCATTTCCCTCCCTGGCCCTAGGGCTCTGCTTCTTCCCCAAACCTGCTCTACCACAATTCCTTCCAGGTTCCCTCATCTGTAAAATGGGGATAATAACAGTACCTGTCTCAGAGGTATGTTGTAAAGATCAGAAGAGATGCTTGAGGTACAGTGCTTGGAGCCTGGCACATGGCAGATTCTCAATGAATACAAGTGATCATCATCACTATCATTGTTTTAATAATGTCTCAGAAGTCCTGGGAAAGAGGCTCTGGATAAGCATTACCTACAGTTGATGGTTGAGGAAACTGAGGTTGAGAGGGTAGAGCAACAGCTATCCACATGCTCAACGAGGAAAGAGAGAGCAGGATTTTATTGGGGCCGCCTGATTTTCCGATTTCAGAGCTCATTAACTTCTGCTACTCTCTGCTGGGCAGATGAGTGAACCATAATCAATATTTATTATTTACTTAATGTGTGCCAAGCCAGGCCCTGGGTGCTGAGGAGCATTCAGAGATCTGACCTAGACCCTTAAAGGAGCTCAGAACATGACAAACCAGGCATGGAACCAAAGCCTTGTTTGTTGACAGAATACACTAAGGGTCCAAAGAGGAGAAGAGGTACTCTAGCTGAGAGAGAAAAAGCAGGCATGGAAGGCTTCCTGGAGGAAGTGGGGTTTAGCCTGGCCACCAAGTACCAGTGAGATACGCAGACTAAAAGGGTCTGTACAGGGTAGATAAGGTCAGAGCTAGAGCAACAGCTGCCGATTCTTGAAGCCCCTTATGAACCGGTCCTGGGCCAAAAGCTTCACATGCATTATCTCATGAGATTTCCCCACACTCCCATGAGGTAAGTGGGATTAGAGATGAGAAAAACCAAGGTTTGGAGAATTTTTAAAACCTGCCTGGGGCCAGGCATGTGGCTCATGTCGGTAATCCCAGCAACTCAGGAGGCTGAGGCAGGAGGATTACAAATTCAAGGCCAGCCTGGGAAATTTAGCAAGACCCTGTCTCAAAATGAAAAGTTAAAAGGGCTGGGGATGTGGCTCAGTGGTAAAGCACCCCTGGGTTTAATCTGCAGTACCAGAACACAAACAAATCTTGCTTGGTGTCACACAGCTAGTAAAGCTGCAGGGCTTCAGTTTCAATCCAGACAAGCTGGCAACAAAGCCTGGGCCACCTCATCATCAGTGATCCGATGAGGTCCGGAGCTGGGAACAGACTCTGGAGGTTTTGAATGTCAAGGCTCAGACTTTCCTACAAACCACACAGTAGACAGGCAGGAATCTGCAGATCTGGAATGAATGGCAGCTCTGGCACTCACTACCAAGGTCACTTTTGAGCCTCTCTGAACTGGAGAGCTGAGGACTGGAAATAGATGATCAACAATGAAAGGTTTAGAATGAGGGAGGGAGGCTCTAGTGACAAAAGGATTGTTTAGGAGAAACTTAGAGATGTGCAAGTATCTGCCAAGTGCTGGGTCCTCGGAATACAATTGAGCTTTTTTTTGGGGGGGGTACTAGGGATTGGACTCAGGGGCACTCAACCACTGAGCCACATTCCTAGCCCTATTTTGTATTTGATTTAGAGACAGGGTCTCACTGAGTTGCTTAGGGCCTCATCATTGCTGAGGCTGGCACTGAACTCACGATCCTCCTGCCTCAGCCTCCTGAGTTGCTGGGATTACCACTGTGCCCAGCCTCAGAATACAGTTGCGTACAAGACACAATCTGTACTCTGGACCCTCACTCCAGCTGTGCCTTTGGTGGAATAAACAGGACTCCGGAGCTGGATTGTCTGATTCCACTGTCAGTTTTCAAATCAGTGAATCTCTCTGTATGACCTTGGGCATGTGACCTAGCTTCTCAGCCTCTCCACCTTTACCACAAAGATAATCATTGCTCTTCCCAGGATTGTTGGTGTAAATTAAATAAAACAACACATTTAACGGTCTAGCATGGTGCTTGGCATACAGTAGACACTCAGTAGATGTTAGTTTTCCCTATGAAGAGGCATAAATGTTGGGATCCATGTCTTGCCCCCCCCCCCCATTCTGCCAATTAAAGTTACTGGTTCCTGGCTTTCATTTTAGCAGAAAGAGGGATATAAATGTATACAATACAGTCCAACCACACAAACTAACAAAGAGCCCTGTGTCCTGGGAAATGCACTGCAGGGTCTAGGCTCAGATCTGGACTCCAAGCCAAAACATTTTTCCCCATCCCCAGGGAACCCGGGCCCATTTCTCAATGCACTATGAGCTGCTCAGTCCTGTGCTGTGTGTCTGGTAACCGCCCTCAGTCTCAGTTTCGTGGGCTGCTGCAGCGGGCCTACAGGGACAGGAGCAGGTGTCGTGGCCCCTTTAAGCTGTAAAGCTCGTGTTGCAATCGCGGCTTCTAAGGCCGGTCCTTTCCGGGGGGCGGAGCCTGTGCGTGTTGCAGCAGCCAACCAAAGCGCCGCATTTTCCGCGGGAGATCTGAATTTCGCGGCACGCAGATTGGCGCTAAAAAAAAAGAGAGAAGAAAAAAGAAACTGAGAAAGGCTTGGGGACCAGAGAGCGAGCCGAGAGCGAGTCGGGGCTCTCAGGGCCCCTTCCGCGTCCGAGCACACCGCGTCTCTGGCCGAGCCCGTAGGCACCCGAGGCTTCTCCCCGGAGCGGGCCAGACCCCAGGCGCTCCAAGGCCTTCGGGTCGCGGGGCAGTCCCGGGAGGCGGCCGCCCTCGGGGCGGGACAGCTCCTGGTAGTGCCACCGCCGCCAGGCGGTCTCCAAGCGGCGATCTCCAAGCGCTGCTCGGCCTTGGGCCAGGAGGGGAGGGTCCGGCCTTGCCCGGTAGACGTCCATTGGCGGCTTCCCCCGGCCTCCGCGCCATGCCGCCGGCTGTGTGAGCCGCTGCGGGCTCCAGAGCCCCCAGGTGCCCGCGGGCGCGCCAGGGCCGTTGGGTAGGGGGCGCCGCACTCGCCATGCTGCGCGGGCCCCGGGCCCTGGCTCCGGCCGCTGCGCAGCCCGCAAAGGGGGTGCCCTCTTTGAGCCCCACGGAGCTGTGGCCGCCCGGCCTCAGCAGCCCCCAACTCTGCCGGGCCACCACCACCTACCACACCTCGCTGTACCCGCAGACGGTGCCTCCTGCCGCGGCACCTAGCACCTGCCTCGACGCCACTCCCCACGGACCCGAGGGCCAAGTTGTGCGATGCGTGCCGGCAGGCCGGCTGCCGGTAATGCTGGGGACCCCCACTGCTTCTCCCTGTGCTTTCTGGGTGGGGAAAAGGAGGGAGGAGCTCCTGAGATTCAGTTTTGAGCGAAGCAGGTTGAATTTGGGGGAGGGAGAGATGAACTTTCAGTTTCCAGAATTTTTTTTGCCCCTAATAACTGAGGGGGAAAAAAACAACCCCATCATTTTCGGAGTTCGGATGAAATCGTCTTATCCACTGTCGTGGGGTGTGCTGAGCACTAAATTGGGAGTCTGGAGACCCAATCCAATGTCCCTAGTGCACTGGGTGACTGGAGAAGTAACTCCACAAGGCACCCAACATTGCCACTGTTCATTCATTTCTTTATTGTACTGGGCACCTGCTACTTGTCCTCAGGGCTTGGCCTGGGGATACCTTGGGGACTTAAGGCAGGAGTACAAGTCTGGTGGCTCTCTCAGACCCAGTCTGGCTTGGACAGACTCCAGACTGTCCCTCCAGCCAACTCCTTCCCAGGTATATGCCCTAGGTCTTTCCCCAGTCTTTGCTCCCAGATAGGCAGTGGCAGATGCAAATGCAGGCAGCCCCCAGGGTTCCTGTTCAGCTGGGCTATGCCCTCATGTCCCTGCTCGAGGCCAGGGAGGGTCCAAAGTATGGTGGCATCCAGCAGCATGGGGTGTGTTTGTGGGAGTTGAATTCCTGGAGCCGAAACAACCTTAGTCTGGGGGTGGAGTGGGAAAGGGCCTGGGGGACTGGTGACAGGGCGGGGTTAGGGGAGCCTGTTTTTTTAGTCCTGACTGTCACTAATTCACCGTGTGTATTTGAGTCTGGGCCTCAGTTTCCTCTTCTTGAAAATGCATGTGTGCCTGTAGTAGCTCTGGGGCCAGCTCACCTTGGGTCACTTTTGGTTTTAGAAGCTTGCTCCAGGGAGGGAAAGTGGGGGTGTTGTAGTTGGCTTAGTTGTGGTTGTAATAAGTTTGGGTGTCCCCCACTCCCAGGCCTCTGGTGAGAGCTGTGCCAATCAGCAAGCAGGGATCCCTGGCCATCTCTTACTGTAGGAAGAGTCCCAATTCCTGCTGCTGGAATCAGGCTTGGCTTTGCCTCCCCAGAACCCCTTCCTGCCCGTTAGTTCCAACTAGGAGGGCAGGAAGCAGGTATGCTATCATCCTCACTTTATAGGTCAAGCACCTGAGAATATCTTTCAATGTCTTGTGTTCAGTATTTTATACTTTAAAATATTCTTGTAGCCTATGAAGTAAGTGGGATTAGTAGCTCCATGCTACAGGGGAAACTGAGGGTCAGAGAGGGGATGTGACCTGTCCAAGGTCATAGAGGGAGGTTGCGTAGAGTGACCTGACCCACAAGTCATCTTCCTATACAGCCTTGACTTTCTCCAGTACTACCAGAATTAGATAGAAGGGCCAGTCTCTCCTCTGGCCAGCTGCTTTCAAACTCAGAGTTTCAGTAACAGCTGTGGTTTTGAACTACTTTGAATGCTCCCAGAGGATTCCAGACTGCATCTGTCTGAAACTCCCTCCAGGAGGGGCTCAGTGATCTTGGCAAGGACAGCTCTCTTTTATTCAATGCCTCTCATATGCCAGATACTGCTTGGCACTCTTCAAAATCATCATCTTGGTCAAGATACCCAGGATGAGGCACCTTGAAGGTAAGGAAATTGAGCAGAGTAGTGAAGTCACTTGTCCAAGTTACGAGCCAAGGAGTCGGGGAGTCTGCTTACATAGATACCTCTAGAGGCCTGCCAGGTCCAGAGCCCCCTCTCCTGTGGGTTCCCAGTTGCCCAGGGCCTCAGCCCCATAGGCAGGCCTGCCCCCTGCTTACTTATTTTACAAGGGTGTGACCCGAAGCAGCTCCAAACCCAACCCTGGGTGTGGCTGCCTGCTTTGTGGCCAGGCTGCAAAGTGCAGGGTGAGCAGGATTTGTTGGGGAGCTGTCCTTTAAAGGGTTGGCAACCAAGATGGAGGGCAGGATGAAGGCTAGACCCCAGGTCTGCCTGTTCCCTGTGCAGTGTTCTTGCCACCACTTGGAGAAGACTCAGGAGATAGTCCTTCATCGAGTCCCTCCTCTGGCTAGGCACGTGATATTCTTCTGTTTCTGCTCTTCAGGGACCTAGGGGGATTCTGTAAGATTCTGCAATGGTTCTCTGGTCGTTTTGTCTATATTTTTCAAATTTCCTCTGAGAGCTGTAAAAGAAAATAAACTTTTTATTTATTTACTTTTTGAGGTGGTCATGGGGTCTGGCTATGTTGCCTAGGCTGGCCTTGAACTCCTAGGCCCAGGCAATTCTCCTGCCTCAGCCTCCTGAGTAGCTGGGACAATGGGTGTGTGCCATGCTGCAAAGGCTGAAAACAAACCTTTTATTGAGCTGCACAAAGCAGATCAGAAGGGGAGAGGTAGGCTCAGAGGGGTGAGGCCATGACACCCTAAGTCCCCATCTGTCTAGCTACCAGGTGGCACTGATGGGGGCTGAAAGTGAGGCTCAGCCCCTTACATGTGCTTCTGCGCCTCACTGTCTAACTGAGGGCTTGGGAGAGACTTGGCTCCACTCTGTGTGACCTTGGGCAAGTCACTTCCCCTTCTGAGCCTGAGTTTCCTTTCCTTGATGCCAGTAAGAGGCTTGGCCTGGGGCTTCCGGTAGGTCGCTGTGTTGCTTCCTATAGGTCACTATGTCTTCTCTCTGAGGTTTGGCAGGATGTATTTGAATTCTAACCAGGTTAAAGGGGCTGTCAAAGATGTTGAAGTAGGAACCTTGCTGGCCTCTGGGTGTGCTCACAGACCTTTGCTTTCCTTGGCCCCTCACTGCTATCTCTTTCAGCTCACCCTTGAACTTGGCCCTTGCTGGTACCTTAGTGCCGGCAGCTGCCCTGGGTGAGCACTGGCCTGAGCGGGCAGAGCGCTTTTGCTGCACCCTCTCGCTCATTCCTCAGTAGAGGTGGAGTGGACTGTCTCCATTTTACAGGTGGCCCAAGAGGCCAACTGACCCTGTAGCTCACCCAGCTAATAAAGGGGAGGCCGGGCTGTACACCAGGTTGGTGTGCCCCAGGCCTGTGATCAGCCTCTCTCTGGGATTATCCTCTGTCACCTCAGTTCTGCAGGCTCAGCCCAGTCACATGCTGACTTCTGGGCAGTGCCTATAGGTGTCAGGGAGGTGTCCCAGGGTGGGGGGCATGGCTGCTTAAGGACTCTGGGAGTAAGGATTTTGGTCAGGGGGATTAAGAGAAGGGAGGGGGCCCGTGTGTGTGTGTGTGTGTGTGTGTGTGTGTGAGAGAGAGAGAGATATGGGGGCCAGCTATGCCGGCCTTGGCCCCATTCCAGCAAACCTGGGAGAATGTATGTGGCATTAAGCTGACACAGCCTTGCACAGCCCTAGGGTCAGACAGACCTGGTTTGAACCCTGACTCTGCCTTTGTCTGTGTGAGCATGGGCACGTGCCTTAACCCTTGAGCCCACTGTCTGCCAAAGTGCCAGTCCCAGTGTTGCAGAGCTGCGGGAGCATGTGCCCAGCTCCCTGAAGGTCTCCTGTTCAGGGTCCTCTCTGCCACCTCTGGCTGTGCAGGGGTTGAGCTTCTGGTGGGGGAGGCTCTGGGCTGCCCCGGCTCCGCCTCTCTCCCTGACCTTCATATTCCTTACGAGGGATAGATGAAGGTCCTGGGGTGGACAACCTTGACCGGCTGGACAAAGGCCTCAGAGCTCACCAGCCTCAAGTCCTTCAGCCATGAAGTGGGGACCAGTGGTGTTGGGAAGGTCTAGTGAAGTGGATGTCGAGGCTTGGCTCAGGGAATGGGCAGTGCTTGGGTCTTTCTCTATGACAGGATGGGGCTAGATTCTAGAAATTTACCAGTTGAGAGGCAGATAAGGAATATTCAAGAGAGGCTTTGAGAGGAATGAGCAGGGAGGTGTCTGGGTTATGTCCGGGCCTGGGCAGGGGTGGGTGAGAGAAAGGTCACATCCAGGCTCCTCCAACCAAGGAGCAGTTCCTCCACTCAGTCCAGGAGGACTTCCTGGAGTGAAGGGCTAATGGAGGAGGCAGGAGTCGGGGAGAGGAGCTGACAGCAGGAGGAGCTGTCACCCTACCCCACCCCCCACACACCTGTCGGCCCAGCTGTGCTCAGCAGCGGTTAGAAGACTCAGTCAGCCCTGCTGAGCATGACCTCACCACCAAGTGTTAAATTAAGCCCTTAAATCAAGTTGGGGTGACTCGGGACAGGGGAGGAAGGAAATGGGCCCAATGGCCCCCTGAACTTTTGTCAAGGAAGATGGTGAGCTTGAATTTTAGCTGTGGGACTGTGTATTTCCTGAATGCCTACTGTGTGCTGAGCCACAGACTGAGAATTTTACAGATGATTCCTTCTCAGTCTTTACAATAGCCCTGGAGATATTTTCTGCCGCATTTTGCAGAAGAAGAAACCAAAGCTCCTAGAAGCAGAGCATTTTCCCAGGTCACACAGTGAGCCTGAGAGGAGCGGGAGACTCCAGCTGGCTCTCTGACCTGTGTCCCAGTGCCCCAGTGCCCCTGCCCTGCCCCTGCCCAGCCCTAACCAGAAAGGAGGCCCTTTCCGGGCTGTGAGGCTCTGGGCCGGGTTGGGGCCAGTCGTGAGGAGCAGATGGGTCTGCGGTTTGATTTCCCCAGCAGGTGTTTCCCAAGCTTGGTGGGGGATGGGGAGGGGCAGCAGGGGCCTCAGCTGCCTGTCCTTAAGACACTGGGGAAGGCTTATTGTCTGCTTCTCAGCAAAGAAAGAATAGCTGAATGTCTCTTGAGGGGACCCTGGATCCCTGAAGCCAGAGCCTGATCTTGAGGGTGGGGTGTGTTTGCACTGTTTCCCAGTGTGGGTGCCTCCCTGGGGTGGGGCACCAAGCCAGGAAGTCCCTAGGGTCTGGGCGGATGCTAGGCCACACCCCGATAAGGACCAGCTGTGGGGCTGTGATGGGCACCAGCTGGCTGGGTCAGCTGTTTTTTGCAGAGGGGCTGGTCCCCAACCTGATGTGGATGTGGTTTAGGCCTCACCTACTACTTCCTCCTTTTATGTCTTCTGGGCCTAGGGTTGGGAGTAGAGGCAGCCTTGGGGCCTGTGGTTAGGAACCCTGAGCCTCTGGCCACACAGGATTTGGTAGGGCCTCCAGTGCCTGGGCCTCAGAGATGGGATTTTCTTTTCTTTTTTTTGGGGGGGGGGAGGGTATGAAATTGAACCCAGGAGCACTTTTATTTTATTTTTTTATTATTATTTTTTTAGTATTTATTTTTTAGTTATCGGCGGACACAACATCTTTGTATGTATGTGGAGCTGAGGATCGAACCTGGGCTGCACGCATGCCAGGCAAGCGCGCTACCGCTTGAGCCACATCCTCAGCCCCTTTATTTATTTTGAGACAGAGTTTTACTCACTTGCTTGGGGACTTGCTAAATTTCGGAGGCTGGCTTTGAACTTGTGATCTTCCTGCCTCAGCCTCCCGAACTGCTGGGATTACAGGTGTCTGCTACCATGCCCAGCTCAAGAGTGGGATTTTTATTTGCCCTCAGGAAACAGGACATCCCCCTTCTGAACGATTACCTTTCAGGTCATTGATATTTCCTTACCAGTGAGTGTGGCCATGCTGCACCAGGACTCGTGGCAAACTGGAGGTAGCTGCTAGTGGCCTCTGCACCTTAGCCCCAGGTCAGGGAAAGTCTAAAGAAAGGCTGATTCTTACTGCACCTCTCTCCCTGTCTCTCCAAGGCCAAAAGGAAGCTGGACCTGGAGGGAATCGGGAGGCCAGTGGTTCCGGAATTCCGGACTCCCAAGGGGAAGTGCATTCGAGTGGATGGCCTCCCCAGCCCCAAAAGTAAGAGCTCCCGATGGGCATCTCAGGGTGGGGTGGGGGGGCAGAGGGCAGCTACCTTCCCCAAATCATCAGGAGCAATATTTGCATTTTCCGGTTTATCAAGGTTTCCTGTGTGTTCTCCACTTGATCCTGCCTAAGGCAACTTGAGATTCAGAGAGCTCAAGTGACTTGCCCAGGGTTACACAGCTAGTAAGCGGAATCAGGACTAAAGTCAATGGAAGTCCTGGCACTGCTTCCACACCACATACTGTTCCCTTGTGCCAAATGGGATGCCCGATGCTTTGAGAGACTGCTATTTTTTTTAAAGTTTTTGTATTTAGCCCGGCGTGGTGATGCATGCCTGTAATTCTAGTGGCACTGGAGGCTGAAGGCAGGAGGGCTAAATATGATTCAAGGGGACATGAAGCTTGGATCAATCTAGCCTCTGCCACCTATGAGGTTTCTTTTGTGTTTGTTTTTGAGTACTGGGGATTGAACTTAGCGGTACTCCACCACAGCCCCAGCCCTATTTTGTATTTGATTTAAGAGACAGGGTCTCACTGAGATGCTTAGCACCTCACTTTTGCTGAGGCTGGCTTTGAACTTGCAATCCTCCTGCCTCAACCTCCCAAACTGCCTGGATTATAGGTGTGCATCACTGCACCTGGCTTGGGTTTTTTGTTTTGGTACTGGGGATTGAGCCCAGGGACACTTTACTACTGAGCTGCATCCCCAGCCATTTTTTTTTAATATTTTTTATTTTGAGACAGGTCTTGTTAAGTTGTTTAGGGTCTCGCTTAATTCTGAGGCTGGCCTCGAACCTGTAATCCTCCTTCCTGATCCTCCCGAGTTTCTGGGATTACAGGCATGCACCACTGTGCCTGGCTATCAGTAAAGTTTTTAAGATCCTGAGAGTGCCCAGATGGAGACTTCCAAAAGCTAAATTAGAGGGGATTTCAGTCTCTTGAGATTTCAGTGCATAGTCTTGTTAAATTGGCATTTTAAGCAAGTGTTTGTGAGAAATACTAGTTTTTCCAGAGAAATAATGAAAAAGGTATGTAACTAGGTGTGTGTTAGTCAGCTTTTTGTCACTGTGACCAAAATACCCAACAAAAACAATTTAAGGGAGGAAAAATTTATTCTGGTCTCATGGTTTCAGAGGTTCAGTCTATGGTCAGCCTACTCCATTGCTCTGAACCCGAGGTCAGGCAGAACATCAGGGCAGAAGGGTGTGGTGGAAGGGCACTGCCTGGCTCATGACAACCAGGAAGCAACTAGAGAGAAAGGGGAAGTGGCCACAGGGAAGGTGAACCCTTCTAGGATGTGCTCCCCGTGCCCCACCTCCTTCAACCACACCCTGCCTACCTACAATTACCACCCAGTTAGTCTCTTCAAACTGGGATGGACCGATTGGGTTACAGGTCTCACAAGCTAATCATTTCACATGTGAATATTCCTGCATTAACACAGGAGCTTTGGGGGGACACCTCATATCCATACCATCATAAGGTGGGTCATGTGAGGAATCTGAGCATCCAGGCAGGGCTCTAACTTGACTGGTCACTCTTCTTCTGTGAACCTTAGTCATCTTATCTGTAAAATGAGATATTACTAGATCAGGAATGATGTGAAAGGTTCCTCTTCAATTGATTGGTAGAGGCTGCCCAGAGCACTGTATTGAAGGATTCTAAATTCAGCAGGATTAGTGAAAAACTGTGCTGACCAATTAGCTATGTCTGCCATGAGCACAAAACCTACTAAAACAGTCTGTATGCCAAACACGTGCTACCTGTGCATTAAAGAATTCTGCAGTCCCCTTCCCCAGGAATCTGAGGCTCTCTAAAATTCAGGTTCCAGAACTAGTTTGACCACTCTCTTGCTATGTGACTTGTAAGTCACTTGATTGCAAAAGGCCCCTTATGGTTTAAGATGCTGCGGCTAAGATATGGTCTTGTGACATCTATTTCATTGAGAAAGGGATTTTTTTTTCCCATGAATTGCCCTATTTGGTGTTATATGACTGATTCCCTCAGATAACCACTGGGCTACCCATGGAAAGAGAAGGCCAATGTGTGTCTATAAAAATGATCTCAAAGGGCTGGGGTTGTGGCTCAGTGATAGAATGCTTGCCTAGTATGTGTGAGGCACTGGGTTCGATTCTCAGCACTGCATATAAATAAATAAAATAAAGGTCCATTGACAACTAAAAAAATATTTTTAAAAAATGTTCTCAAAGTCAGGTTTGTCTCCAGGCACAGTGGCACTTTCCTGTAATCGCAGTGACTTTGAAGACTGAGGCAAGAGGATTGCAAGTTTGAGGCCAGCCTCAGCAAATTAGGGAGACTGTGTTTCAAAATACAAGAAGGACTGGTGCCAGGCGTGCTGTAATCCCAACAGCTTGGGAGGCTGAGATAGGAGTATCGCAAGTTCAAAGCCAGCCTCAGCAACAGTGAGGCGCTAAGCAACTCAGTGAGACCCTGTCTCTAAATAAAATACAAAATAGGGGGGTAAGAAAAAAAGGACTGGGGTGTTGCTTAGTGGTAAAGCACTCTGGCTTTACTCCCCAATACTGAGAAGGAAAAGAAAAAGAACCCCAACAAATTCAGGTTTGCCATTCTCTCCCTACAGTAAATTTAAATTCTTGGCTTAACTGGTAGGATAGGGTAATGGTTAGGAAGGAAGATTGGAGCCAAACTGCCTGCATTAGAATTCCAGCTTCTCCACTTTCTAGCTCAGGGAGCTGGTGACTTAACCTGTTGGTGTCTTTGTTTTCTCATCTACATCATGGGGATCCGTGCACACCAACCTGATGTGTCCTAAGGATTACCTGTATTCACGTATGGAAAGTGCTGGCCACAGTGACCTGCACATAGCAAGCAGCCGTAGTTGATACAGCTGCCCTGAGCTGTGGTGGAAAGGGGCTCTTCCAGTCTGGTCAGTTCCCCCTGATACCTACTATTTTGCTAGGTATCAGTTTCCCTGCCTGAACGAGAGCGGTGAACAAGTCGCTACCTCACAGTGTGCTGTGGACTGGAAAGTGGGTGACAGAGGGTGGTACTTAGTGGGTGCAGATCGGTGGAGAGTCCCCAGGCTGGTCCTCCCGGAGCTGTGAGTGGGCCTCTCTCCTTCTCAGCCCCCAAGTCCCCCGGGGAGAAGACTCGGTATGACACATCGCTGGGGCTTCTCACGAAGAAGTTCATTTACCTCCTGAGCGAGTCTGAGGATGGGGTCCTGGACCTGAACTGGGCTGCTGAGGTGCTGGATGTGCAGAAGCGGCGCATCTACGACATCACCAACGTGCTGGAGGGCATCCAGCTCATCCGCAAGAAGGCCAAGAACAACATCCAGTGGGTGTGAGTGCCTGGGCCGGGCGGGTCAGCACCGTCCAGAGGGTACACTGCAGTGGGCGGAGCCAGGGGCAATAGCCAATGGGTGTGATTATCAGGGGGGGCTGAAAGGAGCATCCAATGGGCGCAAGGGCAGGTTAACATGTTAGGGGCGGAGCCAAAGTGTCTGAGCGCGGGATGGAAGAGCGCTAGTGCTTGCTGGAGTGATAGAATAAGGGTGGGGACAGTGGAGAAAGATTGCTAGGAGGTGTAAAGGTCTGCAAGGACCCCAGACCCTTCCTTGTGTCAGGGATATCAGATTCCCACCTCTTAGTTCGGGAAAGTCCCCTGGGCGCTGAGTAGGCGTAACCCACTTTGCTCTTCCCATTCTGTAAGGTCTTAAAGGACAGACCTGCAGCCCCTGGTGTGAACCCTAAGAAAGCCCTAGCAGGGGCGGCAGGACTGAGGCCACTCCAGTTCATTTGGGAAAGGCTGGAGCACAGGGATGGACAGAATGGAGCGCTCTCCAAAACTGGCAATCAGGCCTTCACTTGTTCTCCCTCGCCCATCCTCAAGCCTCGAGTTCCAATCCACAGCCGTTCCCTGGGAGTGTGCATGACCGCTAATGTGCACAGCCCAGGGGGACACCCTTGCTGGCTATGTGGCCAGCCTTGTCCTGGAGTTTTGCCCACTCCGCTGGTGCGGCTCCGTGCAGCTCTGGGGTTGGGGCTCCCTGGATGGGGTTGATACTGACACTGGAGACTGCTCTGTTCCCAGAGGCAGGGGACTGTTTGAAGACCCCACTCGACCTGCAAAGCAGCAGCAGCTTGGGCAGGAGCTGAAGGAGCTGATGAGCAAGGAGCAGGCGTTGGACCAGCTCATCCAGAGCTGCTCCCAGAGCTTCAAGCACCTGACTGAGGATAAAGCCAACAAGAGATATCCTGTTTGCGGTGGGAAGGGGTCGGGCTGCCTGTTGACAGCTGTTCAGGTGTTGCAGCACCTCCCTGCAGGGATTGATTCTGTCGTCCTAGGGGTTCCATAGATCTGTTTCTTCCTTTCTTAGGCTTTCTTCTCGAGCCTATTAAAATTACTTTCTCATTAGAAATAAGCCAAGTCGGGCTGGGGTTGTGGCTCAGCGGTAGAGCGCTTGCCTAGCAGGTCCAAGGCCCTGGGTTCGATCCTCAGCACCGCATAAAGATAAATAGAGATATTGTGTCCAACTTAAAAAAAAATAAGCCAAGTGCATTTCTAAGTTGCTGATCCTGGCCTGGAACTCGGTGATCCTTCTGCCTCAGTCTCCCAAGTAGATGGGGCCACAGGCAGGAACCACCATACCAGCTAGTACATTCCTTTAAGTCTGGAAAACAGAAGTGAGCTTCCACCTTCATGTAGCCATTGTTCCTTCACTCTTCAGCTGTGTGTGTTATTTCAACAGTTGTGTGCCCCTGTACATTGTACGTGTTATCTAGGTTTTCTCCACTTGGTATATCTATTACCATAGATATCTTTCTATGTTACATATCCTTCCTAAACTGTTTGGCTGACCCATGTGAAACCTTTGGTATTTGACCACTTTTTAATCTTTGAAGAAGAAATTTCATATGGTTCAACTTATTTATTTAGGTACTGGGGAATTGAACGCAGGGCTACTCTACCACTGAACTACATCCCCAGTTCTTTTTAATTTTATGTTTTGATTTGTTTTGGTTTGGGTACTGGAGATTGAACCCAGGGCCTTGCGCATGCAAGGCAAGCACTCTACCAACTGGGTTATATCCCCAGACCCTTAATTTTTTGTTTTGAGATGGAGTCTTATTAAGTGGCTTAGGGCCTCACTAAGTTGCTGAGGCTGGCCTTGAACTTGTGATCCTCCTGCCTCAACCTGGAATCACCTGGGATAAAGTAGCATTTTAAGATGATTTTTTTTTTCTCTCCATTTGCTTTCTAATGGGATTCAGGGTGGCTTGTGATATTGAAGAGCAGAGGATGCCTTTGAGGTATTTCTGAGATGTTTAAAGAGTTTTGAGAAGGTGATTTTTGGAGGCTTTGGAGAGGTGGGTGGAGGCCCTGCCTGGGGGACTGGAGGTGTGACTTCTGACCAGGCAGTTACTTTTCTTGACTCTCCCTGCCCCTACACTGGCCTATGTGACCTACCAGGACATCCGCGCCATGGGCAACTTTAAGGAACAGACGGTGATCGCTGTCAAGGCCCCTCCACAGACGCGACTGGAGGTGCCCGACAAGGCTGAGGTGAGAGGGCGAGCATGCGATGAAGAGCCAAGTGGGACGGCCCAGGCGGCTCTCTGGACTCTGTCCCTGGCACTGCCCAGCCCCAAGTTATGCTGTTCCATGCTGGTGCCCACGGCAGTATTGGTAGCCTCCAAGCTGGGGCAGAAATGGCAGAAGCTGGAAAGGGCAACAGAGACAGAATTCTAGCCTGAGGAAATCTGTCCCTCCAGAGGCTCTGTTCTGTCTGCATCCCACCTGCCCTGGGTTCCTCCTCATATGCATGTGTGGGCCCACATGCCACCATGTTAGTACTCACAAAAATTCTTTCCTGCGGACTGTGTGCTCCCAGGTTCAAGATTAAAATTTCTGTGTGTGTGTGTGAGTGTGTGTCTTGGAGATTGAACCCAGGGGTGCTTTACCACTGAGCCACGTTCCCAACACTTTTTAAAATTTTGAGACAGGGTCTCACTAAGTTGCTGAGACTGGCCTTGAACTTGCTTGCATTCCTCCTGCCTCAGCTTCCTGAGTAGCTGGGATTACAGATGTGCACCACGGTGCCTGGCAAGATCAAAATTCTTAACTCTCCCTATGAGGTATCTGATGCCCTGACCCCAGCTGACCTGCCAATCTCTGCTTCCATGCCTGCCCCATCTGCCTTTGCTTTGGCCACAGTGACTTATGAGCAGTTTCCTACCACACAAAGTACATCTTTTTTTTTTTTTTTTTTTTTTAATTTTTTTAGAGAATTTTAATATTTATTTTTTTTAGTTTTCGGCGGACACATCTTTGTTTGTATGTGGTGCTGAGGATCGAACCCGGGCCGCACGCATGGCAGGCGAGCGCGCTACCGCTTGAGCCACATCCCAAGCCCCACAAAGTACATCTTTATGCAAGACCTTCACATGTGCCATTCTCTGCAGCTGCAGTGCTCCTCTCTCTGCCTGGTTTTCTGCTACTTATCCTCAGGTCTCAGCTTGAACATGAGTCACTTCCTTGAGGAAGTGTTCCCTGGTCACCCTCTGACCTCATAGCCGCCTGTGCTTTCCCCAAACACTCACTCTCCATTCCCTGGGAGGTATCTGGCATGATGGCATGATCGCCTCCTGCTTCGTCTGTTAGAGTGTAGGCTTCATGAGAGAACAGTTTGTGTGCCTTGTGTCTGCAGCCCAGGGTCTGGCACATACGGAGGGCTCTAGAAGGGATTTGATTGAAGGAAGAAGTGGAGGCTATAGGGTTGATGAAGGCCTCATTCCTCCCTTGGAGGAGCTCAGGACCTCGTGGGGAAGAGACTCAAGCAAACAGTGGTGCTGTCATTTGTAACTGAAGATGGGCTTCAAGGGCAGAATGTTCAGAGGAAGCATCCTGGGGGGTGACAGTTGAACTGGGTCTTAAAGACTAAGCAGGTTTTGGAGACTGACCATGTGCCTGAATGGAGTGTGTAGACACTCACAGGTTTTGTTTTTGTTTGTTTTTATTATATTTTTTACTTGTAGATGGGACACAATACCTTTGTCTTTATTTGTTTGTTTGTTTTTAATGTGGTGCTGAGAATCAAACCCCGTGCCCCACAAATGCTGGGCAAGTGCTCAGCCACTGAGCCACAACCCCCAGCCCGACACCCACAGGTTTTGTTGCAGGTGTGTGGTGGGGAAGGGCTGAGGCCTCGTGGCAGGACTGTTGTCACTCTGCCTTTCCACGCTGCATCACAAGCTCAGCCACTTGAGCTGGGGAAGGGCGCTCCCCAAAAATCACATGACCTGAGGCTGGGGAGGGGGATTTCCCAAAGGAAAGCCAAGGTGCTCTTCCTGAAAACAGACCTGGGGTCTGACAGCCAGAACAGCGCCGCCCGCCGCAGGCCAGGCAGGGTGCACGTGGAGCCCGGAGTTTGAGCTTCCGCACGTGGACAGTGGCAGCCACATGTGTCCCTGCAGTCACACCAACCCATACATCAGTGTCCAGCTGCCCAGGGCCATGAGCTGCCTTCTCTTCCTCCTCCAGGAGAACCTGCAGATATATCTGAAGAGCACCCAAGGGCCCATTGAAGTCTACCTGTGCCCGGAGGAGGTGCAGGAGGTGGAGAGTCCTGCCAAGGAGCCCCTCCCCTGCACCTCCGCCCTCAGCCCCAGCCCTGACTGTGCCCAGCCCAGCAGCAGCACTGACCCTGACATCTTGGAGCTTGAGTCATCCTCAGGTAGGGCCCTCTGCGCAGAGAGACGGAGGTGGGGGAGCAGCTGGCCTTGGTCTCTTCTTCCGTGTCTGCCTTTGTTGGATGCCCATTCTCTCCAGCAGCTGGGGGTTGGGTTGCCTCCCCAACATATGTGCACTGCACTTTGTGCTGAGGAAGCACCGGGGCACCACTCACTGGGGAGCCAGTGCTGTTCCCAGGCCCAGGAGGGCTTGGATCTGAACCCAGCTCTGCTGCTTTCCAGCTGTATGCATTGGGCAAGTTATTGAAGCTCTGTTGGCCTTGACTTCATCATCTGTAAGAAGTTGGGCACAAGAATTAATGACAGCTAGTTCCTGAGGTCAGCCCAGGGCTCTCTCCGCAGGCAGAGAGTCAGTCAAGGAAGAGGCCCTTGGCTGGAGGGGCTCGCCCTTGGCTGGAGGGGCTCACCCTTGACTGGGAGGTGAGAGGTGCAGTTGGTGACACTGATGGGACATTTCCAGGGAGCAGAGAGAGAGGGGAAATCCCCCGGAGGGTGGAAGGCCTCAGATGCGGAGCCAGAAAAGGGCCCTGTTGCAGGATGTCTTTTGTGTTACTGGCGCACACAGCCGGCTGGACCGCCAGGATTCCTCAGGGCCACGTGAGCCAGTGGTTTACTGTTTGTTTTCTTAGGAGAATTCCTTCAGGTAGAACCCTAGGGTTTCAATAAAGGCAGAGCTAGAACTGGTCTGATGGGCATCTGGTGGGGTGTTCTGCAGAACGCAGGTTGGATTCCATTTCTCTAACTCTAAGCTTGACAGACTATTGCCTGCAGATCAGATCTGGCCTGCTGATATATGACCCATGAGCTAAGAATAGTTTTTATTTTTTTTATTTTTTTTCTTGTGATGCTGGGGATCAACCCCAGGGCCCTGTGCAAACTAGGCAAATGCTATACCGCCTAGCTATATTCCCAGTGTTAACATTTTTAGAGTTGGGGAGGTACAACTGCGTTACAGAGACACAAGTGTCCTGAAAAGTCTAAAATGCTATCCAGTCCTGTAGAAAGTTTACTGACCCTGATCTATCAACCCTTCATTTTAGACATGAGTAAACTAAGGCCCAGAGAGAGCAAGTGGTTTCCCTAAGGTCACACAGCAAGTTGATGGCAGAAATGAGACAAGAGCCATACTCTCACCTCTTCTCTAATGATCTCCCTTCTGTTTGTTGGCCTTGTCCGGGAGCCAGGCTTCTCCGCATGCCGGCCATCTGTTCCTCTGGGCACCTCCCCAGTGCCTATCTCCTACCCCAGGCTTGTGCCCCACCCTGTCTTCCCTCCTCCTGTTCTGCCTTCTCACTTGTCTGTTGGCATGCGCACAGTTCCCCAAAGGGAGAACCACCTGAGTGGTACAGCAGTGTCCCCCGAGACCCTGTGTAGAGGCGATGACCCCACAGTGTAAGGAAGGGCAAAGCTTTGACCTCAGTTCACAGGTCAAGATCTCAGGAGTCAAGGCTCACGGAGCACAGCCGGGGAGCCAGTCCTACTCCAGGTGGCATGCAATGGCTACCCCTCACCTTGTCACCTGGCTTCATAGTCCTGTCCCTGTGAAGGTTGGAGGAGGAACACACACAGTCCGGGTTCTGTCCTGAAGTGGAGTCATTTTGAGGGCTCAGCACCAGAGGCCAGAACCAAAGTGGAGGCCACAGCAATGTTGGCTCTTGGGTCCTGGCCCTGTTCTGTCACCCCCAGGGGAAATTGCCAACCCTCTGCGGCCTCCGTGACCCTCATCTTAGAAGGGGTGGGACAAGAGTTGCTCCTAAGGCCCCTCCAGGCTCTGACGCTCTGAGGAAAACCTCCAGGTAGCTGATGACACAGGGTCGGAGGCTGGGAGATTTGGGTTTGAGGCGGTACCTCACCTCTGAGTGACTTGGTTCCTGTAGGAGAGTCACTTTAACTTCTCCAAGCCTTGGTTTCCAATCTCTGAAATAAGGACGCTTAAAATTCCCTCGGGGCCAGCTCTGGTGTCATGCACCTGTGGCCCCAGCTTCTTGGGAGGCTGAGGTGGGAGGACTGCTTGAGCCTGGTGGTTTGGGCCAGCCTGGGCAACACAGCACAACTCTGTCGCAAAACAGAAGAAACAAGGCCTGGCATGGTGGGGCACACCTGTAATCCCGGGACACACCTAGGAAGGAGCCAGGTCCCACCTGTGACACAGATGTCCCCACGTCTTATCTCAGTTACTGATTCTAGTAAGAGGTATGGCTGGGGTCTGAGCCCACGTCGTTCTTGTTCCCAAGCCAGGCTTCTTCCTGTAAGAGCCCCAGTGGGCTGAACAGATGTTGGGGTTTGTCTGTGGGTCTTCCTTCTTTCTTTCCTTCCATCCTGGGGATTGAACCAGGGGAGCCCTTCCACTGGGCTCCTTCCCCAGCCCTGTGTACTTTTTATTTGGAGACAGGGTCTCTCTAAGTGGCCAAAGCTGGTCCTCCTTCCTCAGCCTCCACGTAGCTGGGATTACAGGTGTGCACCCTGTCAATTTTTTTAATTCAAATTTTATTGACTTCTCTGGGCCTGGTTTCCTCATCTGAAGTAGAGGTGACAGCATTGCCTCCTTCAGGGATGCGTGGGTGTCGGAGGAGGTGGGACTCACCGTGCCTCACCTGGAGAGCGGAGCAGGCCACCTGCAGGCCACTGCCTGGGCTTTCTGCAGGCCGTTGTTCCTCGGCGCCCTGCATTCCACCGTCTCCCCCTCATTTCATGGAGGATATGTAGTCACTGTCCTCCACTTTAGAGGTGAGAAATTGGAGGCTCAGAACCATGGAGTCACTTGCTCAGGTGGGTCACCCAGCCACTTAGAGGTGGGTCACGGTCTGCCCACGGTGCTGTGGTGTTTCCAAAGCTGACTTGGTCGGACCTTAAGGGATGACCGCGATGGCGCGGTTCTGAGATCAGACTCTATTTGACAGGCAGTTTCCGGGGCCCCATTCCACGTCCCTGTGTAGGAAATCACCGTCCTCCCTGAGAGGACATGGTCGTGGTGTGCCAGGAAGATGGCCAGTGTGGCTGGAGGGTGGGGTGGGGTAGGGGATGGAGAGGGAGGCAGGGCGGGATGGCACAGGGTCATTTCAGCCCTGACCAGAACCTGGGTTTTACTCCAAGCCAGAGGGGAGCCATTAAGGCTTTAAGTAGGAACACAGACTTCTGAGGAAGCTCCTGCCGTGATGCAGGTGCGGGGGCCCGACAGGGGCCAAGACCACAGCAGTGGGACGGAAGAGAAGGGCAGGGTGGGGACTGTGGTCGGTGTGGCCATGACCAGTCTCACTCCAGGACCGCAGGCTGGGGGATGGCAGGATCCTGGAGGCTTCTTGGCAGCCACAGGGCCACTGAGATCAGCTGGGGAGGAGAGTGCCAGCAGAGGAGAGTCGAGGTGTGGAGGCCGGGGCCTTTGAGGGTTGGCAGGGGGAAGAGGAGGATCCAGCCAAGGAGACCCAGAGGAAGTGGCCAGAAAAGGAGAGGAAAACCAGCGGAATCTTCCTGGGAGCCAAGTCCAAACAGAGCATCGGGTGCCTCCAAATAAGTGGAGGCCAGAGAGGGGCTGGGATGCGGCTCAGGGTGGAGAGCAAGGCCCAGTGAGGCCCTGGGTGCTGTCCCCAGCCCTGGAGGGACGAGGAGAGGAGGCCAGAGAACAGAGCAGAGGATTCAGCAACATGGAGGCCATGGGTTCAGTGACCCGGTGAGGAGTAGGGATAGTGATGGAGAAGTAGAAAGCGAACAGGCTTCTCAAATACGAGAGGGAGTTTACAATGACAAGGAGCAATCAAATGGGCTAGGAGTTGGGCGGGGTCATGAGGCCAGGTACACTTTTTTTTCCCCTTCTTCAAGTTGGCCACTTTAACCATCTTCAAGTGCAGTACAGGGTTTATTAGCACATTCTTGCTTCTGGGCACCCCTCGCTGCACCTGCTCAAAACTAATCCATCCACAAGAACTCCCGCTCGCCCCTCCCCCACCACCATACACAGTCTGTGATTTTGACTGTCCCGTGGGATCATGTGGTATTTGTCTTTTTGTGACTGGCTTATTTCACTTAGTATAGCACCCTCAAGATTCCTCCATGTTATAGCATATGTCAAAATTTCCTTCCATTTGAAAAACAAAAATTTCTTTCCTTTTGAAGGCAGGATAATATTCCGTTGTCTGTATACATGACACATTTTGCTCTCCGTCCATCTGTCAACAGATCCTTGGGCTGCTTCTATGTTTTAACTGTTGTGAATATGTTTCCATGAGCATGAGTGGGAATGTGTCCTTGAGCCCATGTCCCTTTTTTTTTTTTTTTTGTACCAGGGATTGAACCTAGGGGTGCTCAACCACTGAGACACATCCCCAGCCCTTTTTTAATATTTTTTAGAGACAGGGTCTCACTGAGTTGCTTAGGGCCTTGTTAAGTTGCTGAGCCTGGCTTTGAACTCTTGATCCTCCTGCCTCAGGCTCCCAAGATGCTGGGATTACAGGCCTGAGCCACCGCACCTGGCTCCTGCTCTTTTTCATTTTGGGGGGTGGGGTACATATCTGAAGTGGAATTACCAAGTCCTACATCAGTTCTATTTTTATTTATTTATTTTTTGTGGTGCTGGGGATCAAACCCAGGGCCTTGTGCATGCTAAGTATATGCTTTGCCACTGAGCTACATTCCTAGCCTCTCAGGGGTTTTTTTGTTTTTTTCTTTTTTTCATGGTACCGAGTCTCAGACCCAGGGTCTCATGCAAGTGGTCTACCACTGAGCTCCACCTCCGACTCTATTTTTAATTTTTTGAGAACTCACCATACTGGCTTTTTGTTTTATTGTTTTTTTACTGATTTTATTTTTTATTTTTTTAAATACACAACAGCGGAATGTATTACGATTCTTATTACACATATAGAGCACAATTTTTCATATCTTTGTCACATCCCTACCCCTTTTTATTTTAAGACAGCATCTCACTAAGTTGCTGAGGCTGCCCTTGAACTTGGCAGTCCTCCTGCCTGAGGCTCTTGGGTTGCTGGGATTACAGGCGTGCACCACCATGCCTGGCCCTTGTCCATCTTTAATCAGGTTTTTTTGCCTGTTGAGTTATAGGAGCACTCTGTGTAATTTCTGGATAGTAATCCCTTACCAGATCATGATTTGCAAATATTTTCTCCCATTCTATGGGTTGCTTTTTTCACTCTGTTGATCCTGTCTTTGGTGCATAATATTTTTAATTTTTTGAGCTGGGCGTGGTGGTGCATGCCTGTAATCCCAGCATCTCCAGGAGGCTGAAGCAGGATCCCAAGTTTGAGGCCAGACTTTGTCTCAAAATTAAATAAATAAAAAGGGCTGAGGGTGTAGGTCAGTGGTAGAGCACTTGCCTAGCATGTGTGAGGCCCGGGTTCAATCCTAGGTACTGCAAAAAATTTCTAAAAATACATACGAAGTTCAGTTTGTCTATTTTTTCTTCTAGTGCTTGTGCTTTTGGTATTAAACCACTGCCAGATCCAACATTATAAAGCTTCCGTTCTGTGTTTTCTTCTAAGAGTTTTAAGTTTTAGGCCTTATGTTTAGGCCTTTGATCATTTTGAGTTCATTGATGTTAGATAAGGGTCCAGCCTGATTCTTCTGCATGGGGCATCCATTTTCTCAGCATCGTTTATCAAAAAGACTGTCCCTTAGGGGAACATGCTTTTGAAAGTTATGAGTCAGGAGAATACATCTGTGTACTGATGGGCAGGATCTAGGTGATGCCGGAAGAGGAAGTGATCTCGGAACAGGGCCTCCAAGTGAGAGGCGGTGGGCTGGGTGTCAAAGCTGGGGGTGGGTTTTGAGAGCGGAAACTCCACCCACCAAAGGTGAGGGCGAGAGCTGGGGGAATGCTGGAGGTTTCTGGAGTGGGGAAGGCAGGAAGGCTGTCCCGCCTGCTCGGGTCTAGGCATGACCTCTGTCTCTTTGTCTCCAGAACCAGCGCTGACTCCACCACAGGTGCCACTGCCACCGTCACCATCCCTTGTCCCCTTGGAGGCCACCGACAGCATGCTGGAGCTGTCGCACCCACTTCTGCAGCAGACCGAGGACCAGCTCCTGTCCCCGACCCTGGCGTGCAGCCCCCTGATCAACTTCTCTCCGCCCCTGGACCAGGATGACTACCTGTGGGGCTTGGATGGGGGAGAGGGCATCAGCGATCTCTTCGACTCCTACGACCTTGGTGACCTGTTGATTAATTGAGGGGCCGCAGCAGCCCACCCCCATCTCTACCTCCTTGCAGACAGACTGACAGGTCCTCTGCCTGCACAGGGACATTGGACACAAGGTGCCACCCTCAGGGCATGAGAGTCTCCTCTCCTTTCTGACCTCCCTGCCAGCAGAAGCTGTCTGGGGACAGGTGGAGGGTGTGGGGGAGGGGCACATGAGGGGTTGGGTCCTGTCCTTCCTCTCTGACCTCTGACCTCTCACGTGAAGGACCACAGGTGCAGGTTATTAGGTTCAGGGAAAGGCCCCGCCACCTCCTTTTGGGGGGTCATTAGGACCCTTGATTTTCCAAGAAGCACTTAATGCCCTTGTATTTATTTCAGGTTAAGTTGTGTTTATCATTCTTCCTGAGTTTTAGCAGGGAGATTGTTTTAGTTTCTGGCAAGGCTTCTCCTCAGATAGGTCCATTCCCGCCCACTGTCCAAGGGCAGGCCTTCTAGGGGCCCAGACCAATTCCCGGGTGTCCCCACAGTGGTGGACACTGGTCTCTGAGGAGTTGTCCAGTTTACCAGAAAGCTCATTGCACTTAGGCCTCATGATTATCACAAGTGCCAGGCCCTTGACCTCTCCAGCCGAGGTGTCAGCCTGGGACTCCTGGTCTTCATCTCACAGAAGGTTCCAGCGGCCATCTTGGGGCAGGCAGCTTTGTGGTTCCTGTGGAAATAGGAGCAGCTGGTCCAGGAGACTCCTTTCCTAGGGAATTCCTTACCTCTTCCTCACCTTAGAATGTAAAAGTGATCTCCCAGGGAGGCAGCAGAGAAGACTCTGAGGACAGACAGGAGTGTGCAGTGGCCACTCTGGCTGCCGTGGACACCTGAGCCCGGGGAGGCAGAGGCAGGTCCACCAGAGAAGAGGAAGAGGCGGGAGCAGGGACCTGCAGGAAGTATGGCCCCATGGCTGCTGGTGCCCTCCCCACTGTCAGGGAGCACGCACCTGTGTGCCCCATTGTTGAAGGGGATAATGTTTTAAGGACATCCCCTTCCCTCCAGTTCTCACAGATCTCTAAGGACAAAGGTGGCCAGGGCTTGGTGGCACGTTTGCTCCTTTGTGTCACTGTAATGCTGAAGGGGGTCTTCACGGCAGACCAGGCCTTGGCAGTTAACAAGATAGGTTTGTGTCACCCTTTCAGGCATGGGGACTTGAGAAGCTCTTTCGGCTTTATCTGCCCAGTCCCCCAGGGGCCTGACCATCCCACCGTGGCCCTGCAGCCTTCTCACCCAGCCCACCTGGGCTGAACCAAGGCTGTGCCTTCTGGAGAGAGGCACCCAGGTGTGGTGGTCTGAAAGACCTTCCACCCACCCTCAGGGAGCTAGGGTTCCTCAGGAGCTCAGCTGGGCAGCACTTTTTTTTTTTTTTAATGTTTGTAGCATTAAGTTGATTTAAAATATGAAGTTGACTTTGTTGAATTGAAGTTTGGGGTGTGAGCTTGAGAGTGGGGCCTAATGTGAGCTAATGCCCAGTTGGAGGCAGCTATGCTTTGTGGTTGGCTCAACTTCCTGGGCCCCCAAGTTAGCCCTCCCAGGAGTAGACAGAGGCTCACAGATACCCTTCTCTCATTTTGTATGCTTTATGGACATGGATTCGGTCTCCATTCCCCAAAACCTCACAGGGGTCTCATTAGAAGCCCACTGGAAGCCCGGGCTGGGTGTGGCTTTGGCCCCTTTCTGGGGGGTGAGGTCTGCTTTGGGGCAAGTGGGGCTGGAGGGAATGTTCCTGTCCCAAGGTCTCTGCTGGGCTGCCACTGAACCATGCACAAGCTCTGAGGACAGAGATGCTTGACCTCCATGCCTTGGGCCCTGTCTGGAGTGTTCTTCTAGAATCAAATTGCAGAAAGGGAGAAGAGGCCTGCAGGACCCATTTGGAATGAGTCGAATGCTGAAGTGTGGCCAGAGTTTAAGCTCATGTCCCCCAGGCCCATCCACGGGGCTGGACAGAGGGCCTTCCTGAGCAGCGGCCTCTGCCCACTCCTGGGCTGTCCCCTTCACACCCTGCCTGAAGGTCGAGGGTTTAAGCCTCTTTCTTGCCAGTAACCCTTGAAACCTCCTAAATTCTGTAGAGCGCTTTGAGAACGCCATTTTGAGTGTTCATTTCCTTCCAGGGCCACATGAACTTTAAAACTAGGGCGAGAGAAAAGCCGGTTTCTTTCTGAAGTAAATGATTTCTGCCAGGAAATTTCTCAGCCCCACCAGCAGCCCCTAAGTCACTCATGTCCCCAGGGATATCAAAGGCTTGGGGACTCAGGGAACTGAGTAGCATTAAGTTGTTAGTAGACTTGAAGATTCAAAGAGCTTTCCTAACGAACACCACTGAAGGTGTCAGGATTCCCTTCTCCACAGTCGGTGGTCAGCTATGGCTGCAGGGAAGAGGGAGATGGCCATGGGGTGGCTTGACTTTGTCCCTTTCCCAGCCTGTGGTGTTCTCAGCTTTGTTCTGCACAGTGTTTAGGGTTAGAGTGAATCTGGGTGCGCCAGGTACCCCAGTGTTGTGTGGCTTAGCGCATTTGAAGAGAAAGCCTTTGGGGTTGTTTGTAAATGTCTTCCGGGTTCTTGTCATTGTATCCTGAGGTCCTGCCTCATCCTGGGACCCCGTCCTCCCATGAGGGCCCTCAGTGACCAGGATGGCCACAGGCCCAGCTAGCCTACTGGCTGCTGGGCGACATGAAAAAGCCTTGCAACTGTCATTTGTCTTGAGGGTGAACTGGCCAGAGGGAACTTGGTCCCTGTGCCTGGGACTCCATGCGGGTCATTCACCTCTGGGCCACGCTCCCTGGGTCCTCCTTTTTGAGTACCAGCGGGGCCTCCTTGTGTTGAGATGTTTGGGCATTAAAGCATGGCAGCGTGGGAACTCTGGATGCTTGTCCTTGTCCTGCTTTCTGAGTTACACTCATTATCAACTGTGGGTCTGGTCCCCTGCAGGTGGGGGTGGGGTACTGTGCCAGGAGCATGTGTTTACCCGGCTGATTTCTCCCCAGAGGCAGCCTCCCCCCACCCCACCCTGGCTTATCTCCATACCTGAAATCTCAGCATCAAGACATCACGAGGTTAGCAGCACCCAGACCTGAAATGTGACCGCCCTGCCTCCGTCACCCTCCCCTGGGCTATGCCAATGGTTTCCCTAATCTTCTCTTTGGTTTGATGCTCTCTTCCATATTGTCCTCTGCACCAGTGGTTCTGAGTGGAGTCCCCAGGCCTGGAGACAACTTAGGGGCAGGACCAGAATTCTGAGTCCTGATGAGCCCTCCGGATGGTGTTAGGGTAGCTGAAGTTTGAGGGCATATGCCCTCCTCTACCCAGAGAGCTTTCCAAAGTGTCCTCAGCAGGCCCCTCTACTTAATGCTCCTCTGTTCCCTCAGGAAGACCTTCGCTCCGTCCTTGACCTCACAGTCCACCCACCCTACCACTCCACCTCCCTTGGCCGTTCCTTCCCACCATGCACAGCCACACGGCCCTCAATATCCATGTCCCCTCTTGTGGGCCTGTACACACACTCTTCACTGTACCCGGGATGCCCTATGCTCCATTTCCACCAAGCAGGTGCCTGCTTATCCCCAAGGACAGGTTCAGGAGCCTTTCGGGTCTCATCATTAACACGTCCTCATTAGTGCTTCATATACAGCCTGGTTATTTATGGGTTATGGTCTGTTACGTGCTAGGCAGTGGGGAGATGGAGGTGAGACCAGCCCCCCTCAGCAGGCTTCAAGACAGAAGCGTGATTACTAATGACGAGACAGTGGGGAGGGGACATTAGGGAAGGCCTCCTGGAGAAAGTAACTGAGCAATGTCTTTTTTTTTTTTGGTACTGGGGATTGAACTCAGGGGCACTTGACCACTGAGCCACATCCACAGCCCTATTTGTATTTTATTTAGAGACAGGGTCTCACTGAGTTGCTAAGCGCCTCACCATTGCTGAGGCTGGCTTTGAATACGCGATCCTCCGGTCTCAGTCTCCCAACCCGCTGGGATTACAGGCCTGCGCCACTGCACCTGGCCTAAGCAACGTCTTAGAGGGGACCCCAGTTCCTGGCAGAGCAATCAATACTTTCTGTCCTGTCTCGGCAGACAAGGGCAGATATCACAGGACACTGCCTGCTGCCCCTGAGGAGGGACACTGACAGCTAAGAGCCAAAAAGAATGACCCAGAAAGCCGGCTGAGCCAAAAAGGTTGACACAGACCCGGAGGTCATTGGGGTCAGGGGACCAAGTCTGGGGGTTCTGTCAGACCACAAAGACTAGCTGACTAAGGAGGAGGGTCTGGAGTTTGACATTAAGAAGTCAGTCGCACAGAAGGCTTGAGGGTGAGCCCGTCCAGGCCAGTACAGCAGGGCCTGAGGTTGGGGCACTCACAGGACAGGGGCTGTGTAGCGATTAAGCCTTTGAGTTATGTCTGGGCCCAGCACGGTCCTTCACACAACATCATCTCATTTAACACCCACAACAACTGTGAAGATAAAGAGAATCTGAACCAGGTAACCCTGATATGTCATTGGTGGGGATATGAGACGGTGCCAGCCACTTGGGAAACAGTTTGACTGCTCCTCAAGAAGATAGGCTGGGCACAGTGGTGCCCACCTGGAGTCCCAGTGACTTGGGAAAATAAGGCAGGAGAATTGCAAGTTTGAGGCCAGCCTGGTGATTTATTTGAGACCCTGTCTCAAAGGCTGGGGATGTAGCTCAGTGGTAAAGTATCCTTGGGTTCAATTCCTGGTTACACCCCCTCCCCACACACACACACCCACAGATAAGGGCTGGGGTTGGAAACTGGCTTAGCAGTGGAGTTCTTGCCTAGCATGTGGGAGGTACCCCAGCACTGCAAAAAGAAGGGAAAAAAAAATGAAAAGATGCACAAAATAATCACAGGATTTAATAATTCTAGGGGGTCTACCTAAGAGAAATAAAAACAAGATTGCACATAGTGTTAACAGCAACATTATTCAAAATAGACCCAAACTGGAAAGACCAAAATATCCATCAGCTGGGAACAGACAAAATTATTAGGTCCATAAAGTGGAACACTATTCAGTCAAAAAAAGGAATGAAGAACTGATATAGACTACAATATGGCCCCCAAAATATCAGACTAAGTGAAAGAAGTCAGTCACACAAATCACATTATATAATGAAATTTATGTGAAATGTTCAGGGTAGGCAAACTGTAAATATGCATGAGAGCTCCTAAGAATAAGTATGCAGGGTTGGGGTTGTGGCTCAGTGGTAGAGCACTCGCCTAGCATGTGTGAGGTACTGGGTTCGATCCTCAGCACCACATAAAAATAAACAAAATAAAAGCATTGTGTTCAACTACAACTAATATATATATAATATATAATATTATATATATATATATAATATATAATATTATATATATATATATAATATATATATATATATACACACACACACACACATATATATTTTAGAAAGAATAGATATGCAAAAATCCTCAACAAAATACTAGGAAACCAAATGCAAAAACATAAATAAGAATTATACCTCATGAAATTTGTCCCAGGAATGCAAGTTTGGTTTAATATCCAAAGTTCAATTAATGCACCATATCAGGAGAATAAAGGACAAAGTCATGTCACCTTGATAGATACAAACCTTGAGCTTGCCATCCTCCCCAGCAGCTGGGATTACAGGCATGTGCCACCACACCTGGTCAGTGGTGTTTCCTTCTAAGATCAGAAGCCAGACGAGGATGTCCGCTCCTTTCATTTCTATTCAACTTGTACTGAAAATTCTAGCTAGGACAATTAGGCAAGAAAATGGGAGATAGGAGGAGGCATCCAGGTTGACAGTAAGAAATAAATGCAGATAACAAGATCTTTCATAGAGAGAATCCTAAAGAATCTTCCTTCCTTCCTTCCTTCCTTCCTTCCTTCCTTCCTTCCTTCCTTCCTTCCTTCCTTTCCCTCCCTCCCTCCCTCCCTCTCTCTCTCTTTCTCTCTTTCTCTCTCTCTCTCTCTTTCTCTCTTTCTTTCTTTCTTTCTTTCTTTTCTTTTCTTTCTTCTTTCACCAGGGTTTGAATCCAGGGACACTCAACCACTGAGTCACATCCTCAGCCCTTTTTTATATTGTATTAGATACAGAGTCTCACTGAGTTGCTCTGGGCTTTGCTAAGTTGCTGAGACTGGGTTTGAACTCGTGATCCTCCTGCCTCAGCCTCCTAAGTCACTGAGGTTACAAGCGTGGGCCACTGTGCCTGGCCTAAGGAATCTATTTTTCAAAAAATTAGAACCAGTGGCTGGGAACAGTGGCACACGTCCATCATCCCAGTGGCTCCTAAAACTGAGGCAGAAGGACTGCAAGTTTGAGGCCAGCCTCAGATCAAAAATAAAAGGGACTGGGGATATAGCTCCGTGGTAGAGCAGCACTCCTGTGTTCAATCCTCAGTACCAAAAAACAAAGGATTAGAATAGACATTTTTCCAAAGAAGATATAAAAATGGACAATAAGTGAGTAAAAGAATTTCTAATATCATTAGCCATCAGGGAAACATAAATCAGAAGTAAAGATACCACCTCACACCCACTAGTAATGAGAAAACAGTAAATAACAAGCCCTGGCATGGATGTGGAGATACTGGAAGCCTCAAAAACTGCTAGTGAGAGGCTGGGGTTGTGGCTCAGTGGTAGAACCCTCACTCAGCATGCACGAGGCACTGGGTTCAATCCTCAGCACCACATAAATGAAAAATAAAGATGTTGTGTCCACCTAAAACTAAAAAACAAATATTAAAAAATGCTAGTGAGACTAAAATTGCAGACATTCAGGAAAAGAAAGTTTGTTCATTCCTCAAAAGTTTAAACAGAAGCACCATGTGACCCCCTAATTCCACCCCTACGTATATACCTGAGAAAACTGGAAACTTACGTCTACGTGAGAATGAGTACCTAAATATTCATAGCAGCATCATTCACAAGAGTCCAAAATTGAAATGGCTCAAACGTCTATCAACTGGCGAATGGGTAAATAAAATGTGTCTATCCAGTGGAATATTACTCAGCAATGAAAAGACATGAAGTTCTGACACATGCTAAAATAGAGATGACATGTGCTAAGCAAAAGAAGCTCCATGCAAATTACATGGTCTCAGTTATATGGACTGAGTAAGCAAATCTGGAGAAACAAAGTAGATTCGTGGTTGCTGAAGTCTGTGGGGAAAAGAAAGGAGAGCAACTGCTAGAGGCACAGGTCTTACAGGGGACGATGAGCCTGTTCTAAAATTGATGGGGTGATGGTTTCACGACTCAGTGAATATTTTGAAAACCATTGAATTGTACACTTTAAGTAGGTGCACAAGGCATACAGCCAGTCGAGGACAAGGCAAAAAAAGAAAATAGCAGTTTAATTCTTTTAAACTAGAGGCACAAATCAGAAATAACAATTAACCAATTAAATATAACCTTGCAGGGAGTAGGTTTGTGGCTCAGAGGTAGAGCGCTTGCCTTGCACCTGTGAGGCACTGGGTTGGATCCTCAGCACCACATAAAAATAAATAAATAAAATAAAGGTATTGTGTCCATCTACAACTAAAAAAAATATGATAAATAAATAAATATAACCTTGCAAAAGAAGAAAAAAAAATCACAGCCAAATCAGATTGACCTGGGAAGGCAAGGACATTACCAGCAAGCACATTGGCTGCAAAACTCTCGGCTTTTCCATGCGCTGAGTGTGAGATAGAAGGACAACGTTTGGGGCCTGGGGGTGGAGCCTGTGCTCAGCATACAGGAGGCCTTGGGCTCAACTGCCAACCCCCTCCCCCAACAAAAATAGATAAGAAGGAGCCTGGAATGTTGGGGCACACCTGTAATCCCAGGCGGAAGTCAGGAGGATGGCAAGTTGGA